TTTTGCCGGAAAAAAATAATTTCTGGGAATATGATGGGAAATTTTTTTTCCTGGATAAGGTACTAAAAGTTGTTTGATAAGCCAAAATTTTTCCGGGAATGTTGGGTTAATTTTACTGCTGTTGTATGTTAATTTTCCCACCACATGGGGAATTATTTTTTCCACCCCATTAATGGTAATCTTCCATAACAATTTTATATGGAAAAGTAAATGATGGGGATTTTTTTTCCCACCCTTACTTTTACTTCACCTCCTACCAAACATAGGCAATTAATTTTTTTCACCCCATTTTTCCAGGAAATTTTTTTTTCACCTCCTACCAAACACCCCCTAAGGGTGTCTTGTTGCCCCTCTTGTCCTCAACTTGGTATAGGATAGTATTGTTTTAATGGTCACTCTTTGGTGTTCTGTGCTAATGGGCGTTCGGGATTGAGAAGCTTTGCTGCATTTATTATTATTATTTTCATTTTTCCTGTCTAAAATATCTTATCCTCCTTGTAGCTGTACTTTCTGTCCTTTTTATGTAATAAATTTCTTCTTCTTCTTCTTTAAATGGATAGATATGTAGAATATTCTAGAGTTTTCTACTTGTTTCTAGCTACTTGTTCCTTTGAGTAGTGTGATGCCTCTTCGGTTACTGTGTATTTTATTTATTACTTCAACTCCTTAACTACCTTGTAATCTGTATATAAAGATCCCTTTGGGTGTCAATCAATATATGAAAAATACATTTCAGTCTTATATTTCATCATGGTATCAAGAGCAGGTTATCCTGTGGTCATCTTGTAAACCTTCACGTTTCCTTCCGTTTTCCATTTTTCACTGTTTATTAAAATAACTCAGAAACCATATCTGGACCCCTCCAATCACGAAACCAAGGCCACCATTGGACTCAGAAGCCATTTCCGAGTCGACCCACGTCAGCCCCGTCGCCGGAAAGTCAGCCACGCGCCACCACTGCAGAACTGCCTCTCTGGCGCGTGTGAGCCACGCGCCGCCCTGCCGGCCTCCGTTTGTCACGCGGCTTTCACAGAACGGCTCGCCTGGCCTTCCTCTTCCTGTTCTGGGGGTTTAAATCACGATTGGAGCACTCTTCTTGTTGGGTCCAGTTGGTTCCTCTTCGTGATTTTTCAGTTTCTGAACGATTGGAGTTCCTTTTTTGTTTTTTTTTTATTTTTTTATTTTGAACAATGGAAGTTGAAAATATTGAGGCTGAGAATAAGCATTCTGAAAAATCATCCGGTAATGTTTCCGGTGTCTTTCCTCTTCCCTGTTCTTCGTCTTCCGGAGACAACCCAGCTATACAGATTACTAACCACCGTTTAAACGGTAAGAATTATGAGCAATTTCAGAGGGTGATGTCTCAATCTGCTGAGGCAACTAGTCATGTTGCTCAACAAGGTATGGCATTCCATGTTGATCATAGTAGTCGTTGGATTCTTGATTCGGGAGCTTCTGATCATATGACAGGTAATGCATCCCTGTTTTGTTCTTATACCCCTTATTATCACCAGTCACGAATAAGGACGGCTGATGGTAGTTTCTCTAATATTGCGGGAAAGGGATCCATTAAGCTCTCTGAACATATTACTCTGAATTCTGTCCTTCATGTCCCTTCTCTTACTTGTAACCTTATCTCTATTAGTAAACTTTCCTCTGAATTGCATTGTGTTGCTAAATTCTCTGCCAAAACCTGTGTTTTTCAAGAACAGGATTCGGGGCTGATGATTGGCAGTGCTAGAGAGGAAGAAGAAGGGCTTTACTATTTTGAAGAAGATTCTCATGAAAAGAGATTTTTTGCAAATCACTCTTTATGTTTATCAGACGATTGTAATGATGTTTTGTTGTGGCATCGTCGTTTAGGACACCCAAATTTCTTTTATCTTCAAAAGCTGCTTCCAAACTTATTTATCAACAAAAAACCAAGTTCCTTTTTTTGTGATGATTGTCAGTTTGCAAAACACTCTCGTGTTTCTTATTTCCCTAGAGATTATCATGTTTCGTCTCCATTTACATTGATTCATAGTGATATTTGGGGCCCAGCTCGTGAAAAAAAATATATCTGGAACTTGTTGGTTTATTACCTTTATTGATGATCATTCTAGAGTATGCTGGGTATATCTTCTAAAAGATAAGTCTGAAGCTGCAGCCACTTTTAAAAATTTTCATGCTATGGTACAAACTCAATTCCAGACCTCTATCCAAATCCTGCGAACTGACAACGGTACTGAATATTTTAATTCTGTTCTTGGTGATTATCTAACCAAGCAAGGTATTATCCATCAAAGTTCTTGTCCTAACACCCCTCAACAAAATGGGGTGGCTGAAAGGAAAAATAGACATCTCATTGAAGTTGCTAGAGCCCTCTTGTCTACAATGCATGTCCCTAAATACCTGTGGGGGGAGGCTGTCTTGACTGCCTCATATCTCATCAATCGGATGCGCTCTCGCGTCCTGAATTTTCATTCTCCCATATCTTGCCTTACCCGCTCTTTTCCCTCCTTTCGGGCTCTCTCTTCCCTTCCTCCAAAGTTGTTTGGCTGCGTGGTTTTTGTTCATATTCCTCCACGTCAAAGGTCCAAACTTGATCATAAGTCTGTTAAATGTGTCTTCATAGGATATCCTCCTAATCAAAAAGGTTACAAGTGCTACTCACCTTCTCTTCGAAAGGTCTTTGTTTCTATGGATGTTACTTTTTGTGAAACACAATCATTTTTTCCCTCGACTTCTCTTCAGGGGGAGTCTATTGGTATAAATGAAGACAAGTCTTGGAATCCAAATAATTCTACTGTCTTACCTTTACCCTTGGAAACATCTGTTGTTTCTTTACCTTGTGAGTCAGGGGGAGTTAATGTACAGGAGACAAGGACAGCAATTGTACCAGAGACTGGAGATCCTCCCGGTAAATGAGGAAAATTCTACAGCAGGCGAATATCTCCTCAAGATCCTCTAGACTGCCAGGATTCTGACCCGAGTCCTAGTTCCAGCAATCCACTTGAGAACACTGGTACAGCTGACCTAGATGTGCCCATTGCCCTTCGAAAAGGTACTAGATCTTGCACTGCTCATCTTATTTCTCATCATCATATGAAAAGTTATCTCCAGGTTTTCGTGCTTTCAACACTATATTAGACGGTACAAAAATACCAAAAAATATCCAAGAGGCACTTAATGACCCTAAATGGAGGGATGCAGTCTTTGAAGAAATGGATGCTCTTAAAAAAAATGGAACTTGGGAGTCCGTGGCACTTCCCAGAGGAAAGAAAATTGTAGGTTGCAAATGGGTGTTCACAATAAAATTTAATGCAGATAACAGCATCAACAAATATAAGGCCAGATTGGTTGCCAAAGGATTTACTCAGACTTATGGGATAGACTATCAGGAGACGTTCGCTCCCGTTGCCAAACTTAACTCTATCCGAGTCTTACTATCACTTGCTGCCAACCTTGATTGGCCCTTGCATCAATTGGACGTAAAGAACGCTTTCTTAAATGGGGACTTACATGAGGAAGTTTACATGGATCCACCACCTGGTTTTGAACAGGGAGATGGTTCTGTATGCATGTTGAAGAAATCTCTTTATGGACTTAAACAATCCCCTAGAGAGTGGTTTGAAAAGTTTACTCGTGTTGTTAAAGAAAGAGGATTTATCCAAGCTCAGACTGATCACACTTTATTTTTTAAACACTCCGATAGTGGCAAAATTGCTAGCCTCATTGTTTATGTTGACGACATAATTGTCACAGGTGATGACTGGGAAGAAATAAAATCTTTAAAAGGGGGTTTAGCTAGTCAGTTTGAACTAAAGGATCTTGGATCTCTCAAATATTTCCTTGGAATGGAAGTTGCTCGTAGCAAGGCGGGAATTTCCTTATCTCAGAAGAAATATATTCTAGACCTGCTACAAGAAACAAGTATGCTTGGGTGCAAGCCTGCAGAAACTCCAGTTGAACCCAATATTAAATTGGGAATTGAAGATGGAAAAGATGTTGACAGGGAGCAATACCAAAGGTTGGTAGGGAAGCTGATCTACTTATCTCACACTCGGCCTGATATTGCATTTGCGGTTAGCATGGTTAGCCAATTCATGCATTCTCCTAAGGAAAAACACCTTAGTGCTGTTTATAGAATCCTCAAGTACCTCAAAAACACTCCTGGTCGAGGAATGCTCTTTAAAAGGGGACACAAGAGGATGATAGAAATCTATTCAGATGCTGATTGGGCTGGCTCTGCTATGGACCGAAGATCCACTTCAGGATATTGTACCTATGTCTGGGGAAATCTTGTGACCTGGAGAAGTAAGAAACAAACTGTTGTTGCCAGAAGCAGTGCAGAAGCAGAATTTCGGGCGCTAGCCCATGGCATTTGTGAAGGAATCTGGTTAAGAAGGCTCCTTGGAGAATTAAAGATATCTTATTCTCTACCTGTGAGACTCTATTGTGATAATAAGGCTGCAGTCAGTATTGCTCAAAATCCTGTACATCATGACAGAACCAAACATGTGGAGGTTGATCGTCATTTTATCAAAGAAAAATTGGAGGAGGGTAGTGTATGTTTGTCATATATACCTACCAAGGAGCAAACAGCCGACATTCTCACCAAAGGATTACACAAACCCATCTTTGAGGATTTAATTAGCAAGTTGGGGATGATCAATATATATCTCCCAACTTGAGGGGGAGTGTAGAATATTCTAGAGTTTTCTACTTGTTTCTAGCTACTTGTTCCTTTGAGTAGTGTGATGCCTCTTCGGTTACTGCGTATTTTATTTATTACTTCAACTCCTTAACTACCTTGTAATCTGTATATAAAGATCCCTTCGGGTGTCAATCAATATATGAAAAATACATTTCAGTCTTATATTTCATCAAGATAAAATGTAAGAAGCCGATTGGCTTTCCTTCATGATTGATTTACATGATTTTGATTATGCATTTTTGTTGCAATCTATGCATCAAAGTCCCTTATTTAATTGATGTCCCATTCCTGTTAATTACAGGAAAATCTCCAGGGTATGTGAAACTTGTCAAGAAGCAGTATGAGCAACGAAATATTTGATGGACCGACATTAGCAGAGAAATTGTTGAAACTCAACAATTCACAACAAAGCATTGAATGTATCCTGATCTAATCCCTCTTTTTTAATTGTTTATCTTTAATGACAATTTTTCTTTTGGTTATTTCTGCATTATAGGTTGCCAATCGGACCAAATGACCAATAGAACATTTATGTCAATAAAACGTTCTATGGCATGATTCATTCATTGCTTGGTATTCAATTACAACAATCCTGCACTGCGGCTTATTCGGATTTATAAAAATAGATCTAAATTAAGAAAGGCAACCTATATTTTCATCCTGTAGTATCTCTCTTCTAGTTTTAGTGTATGAATTGAAATGATGCCTATTTAGAAAGTTTTCAGTTCTTATTAAACAAATAAGATATGCGTAAATTTTTAGGCAGATAATGGACTTGCAATTTCTATGATACAGCTTTGACTTGCAGTACCTAATATGTGTTAGGTCTTACTATGTTATGGGTTTAGTATGTCGGAAATGCCCTAGTACCCTTGTATTCACATGATGTTTATAGAAGTAACGCAAGAGCTATTATTGCGAAGCTGGTATGTGGGATTTCGGTCTTAATTTTTTGCTCTCTTTAGTCTCTGTTCAGAACATAGGAGGGATTGTTATATCCTATATTATGCAGTGCTTTAAGCCTCCCCGTATATGTGCATAAGTGAAGGAACATTATAGCAGCTATTGAAGCTTTCTTTAATGAATCTTTCTATGATAATTTTTGGCAATGATTTTCTATATAGGATGGCACAATTTATTTCATATGAAATAAAACAAGTGAATATTAATCATGCAAGTTTGTGTCTCTGACTTATTTTCAACACTTCTAAGTGCATTAAGCAAGAAATTTCGACCGAAATAACAAGGATGTAAAGACTAAAGAAGCAATGTAATGAGGACAAAAGATTGCCCGTTTGGACAATAACAGTGTTTGGTAACTGAGATTGAAGTGAAGGGTAGGGAGGGAGACTGGATGAAAGAATTGTGAAGGTAATGTTCGTGCTTTTTAAGGTTACAGAAATCATCCCCAGGCTCAAAATGTAAAGAGTGATCTTCTCAACACTATAACTACTCTGTAGTCCACTTATTTTGCATTGTAGGGTGGCTAAATTCTTATGGAATAACCTGTTAGGGGGTGACAATTGGGTGTGTCTTTTACCTTGGAGCTGTTTCTAGTAACATGTTTTTTTGAAGATTTTATAGTAGATTGCAGTTTATGCAGTTGTATGGCGAATTTGGTTGAGAGTAAAGTATTTTCAAGGGGGTCTCTTTGTCCTTCCTTTACGTTTATTATAGTGGATATAAATATATTTTTGGGCCTCTGTTTATTGCTCTAGACTCTAGCTTCTAGCTTTGCTTATGGTTATTTCAAGGGAATTGCTATTACCACTATGCAAAGAAATCATACAGTTGTTTATTCTTTTTAAGAGTTTCCTCCTCCCCCCTCCCTGTTTTTCTTTTTTCTTTTTGATAATTTATTTATTTGGTTATTTTAAAAGCTCATTGAAGCATGTTGGAGTCAAAAGGTTTTACGCTAAGCCAAAGCAAGGCTAATATATAAAGTGTGAGTTTGCTCCGGTAAGAGATGAAGATCAAGACCCCGTGCATCTACTTGGACAAGAGGTACTAAAGAAAGATGCTTTTAGATATTTGAGATCTATTTTGCAAAAGGGTGGAGAGATTGATGAGGATGTGAATCTTAGAATCAGAGCAGGATAGATGAAATGACATAATGCATTAGGGATTTTGTGTGACCGCAATATTCCCCTTAGACTAAAAGGAAAATTCTATAAAACAGCAGTAAGGTTTGCAATGTTATATGTAGTTGAATGTTGGCTAGCACATAGGCAACATAAGCCTAAAATGAGAGTAGCAGAAATGAGGATATTAAAGTAGATGTGTGGTCATACAAGGATGGATAAGATAAGAAATGAAGATATTCGAAAAAAAGTAAGACTAGTACTGGTGGTTGAAAAGATGAGAGAGTATAGATTGAGGCGGTTTGGGCACATAATGCGAAGACCCTAGATGCTCCTTGTAAGAACAAAATTGTGTTACCAAGAACTCGACATAAAAAGAGGAAGAGGTCGATCGAAACTTATTTGGGGGAAGGTAGTAAAGTAAAACTTAATGGAGTGAGATATAGATTGGCGTATAGTGTGTCTTTGGATAGATTGGAGGAAAGCTATTAGCATTGTGGAGGGCTATACCCTTCTTCCTATATTTCAGATGGTCCCTTTTTAATCCTATTTCCCTATATCTTCCTTTATTTCTTTCTTTACCTCTCCTTTTTTTCCTTTCTTCTTTTCTTTTATTTCATTTTTTTCCTTCTCTATTTTTCTTTTCTTATTTATTTATTTATTTTCTTCTCTTTTCTTTATTTTAACCACTCTATTTCTTTCTTTTTTTAATTTATGTACTTGTACTTTTACTTTCTTTTTTCTCTCTTATTTTCACTTTATTTTATTTTATTCTTCTTTTTAATTGTTTATTTTTATGTTTTCGTTTCTAGTGTTATTTATATTTCTTTTAATTTTTTTTATCCTTTTTTTATTCTTTTTCCCTCCATTTTTTTATGCTTTTCATTTGGGTTCATTTACACCAACCCTAACTAGTTTGAGATAAAGGTGATGTTAATGTTGATGTTGATTTTAAAAGCTCACTCTTACCACTTCATGCGGAATCTTTACAAATTTTTCAATAACATTTAGGTATTAATGTTTCTCATATTGTGGGAGATAATTTTATCTCCTACACACATAAAAGTGTGTGGGTTCCATGTGGACCCATGTGAAGAGAAGAGAGAGGAAAAAGAAAATATCACACACTTTTTTGTGTGTGTAGGAGATAAAATTATCTCTTACAATATGAGAAACACTAATCCCTAACATTTAAGTATCAGATTTTTTTTTTTATGGATATAGAAAGTTTTTATTCAAAGAAAGATAGGAGTATGAAGCAGAAGGACGGTGAATCTCATAAAACAATTAAAACAAAAGGAAACTAACAAAAGATCATTTATGCAAGGGAGCTGTGCAGTCCATTAATTAGCAAATCCCTATGAGAACCCCTTCCTAAAGAGATGATGAGTTTATGAAGAAGCGAACAACTAGTTTAAAAATATGTTTTGGACATGTTACTACCTGTCTGTACCAGAATTATCAATAAGCTAGTTGCATTTTACACTTTTGGCAAATGATAATAGCATGTTGCACAATTTTCTTCACTGGGTGAATAATTTTCAAGAAGTAATGTTGTTTTAGATATTGATTTCCACTTAAAAAAAAATATATAATAAATTCACCTGGATAGATGTGGTTTTAATTTCAATTTTATTTCTTTCACTTTTGTCCCCTCTCCCTTTTTTTGGTTCTCTATTATTGAGATTGATTTATTGCAATATGTATTTCTTAATCATTCATTCAGCACTGTCCCGTTGGTGTATTTCTCACCGGAAGAGAGCAAAAGAAATAGTTGAAACATGGGATAAATTATTCAATGCTTCCCAGAAAGAACAGCGTGTCTCTTTCCTGTACTTGGCTAATGACATCTTGCAAAATAGTAGGCGAAAGGGTAGTGAATTTGTTAATGAATTCTGGAAAGTTCTTCCAGCAGCTCTCAGACTTGTTTATGAAAGTGGTGACGAACTGGGAAGGAAAGTAGTGACCAGACTTGTAAGTCTTATTTTCACTTGCTTTAAGTTCTGCAAGGTACTGCCAGAGATAAATGATGCATGAGGGAATCCACTTTTGTAGTGAACCCTACATAGTGGGATAAGGCTTTATCTTTTTTTTTTTGTAGATAATCCATTTTTGTCAGCCATATGTTCCTATCCTTTTTGCTTTATGAGCTTTTTTATCTTATGCCATTGACCTTGTTAATTAATTACTTTCTAACTGACCTTTCATTTTCTTTCTTTCCTTCCGGGTGGAACTTTTCTGGGGTTTGGGTGTTGGGTTAGATTGGTAATGGGGTCTTCTGTTGACTTGTTTAGGTTGACATATGGGAGGAGAGGAAGGTTTTTGGTTCACGAGGTCAGGGTCTTAAGGATGAAATAATGGGTAACATTCCCCTTCCATCCTCTGCAAGCAATGGAAAGAGTTCAAATTCTATCAAGATAGTAAAGAGGGATGCACACTCAGTGAGAATAGTAAGCAAGTTGCAGCAGCACTTCTGATGTTTGATCTGTTGCCTATTAGGTGTTGTTTTGATGGTCTGATTTTGAGGTGTGTCATTTCTTGGTCATCTTCATTGCAGAAACTGGTCGCTGGGTGTTTGCCAGAAAAAATACTAACAGCATTTCAGTCTGTTCTCGATGATCATCTTAATGAGGAAGCTGCCTTAAACAAGTGTAATGCTGCGGTGCGTGATGTGGGTAAACTTGTGGAAGCTGTTGAAATTACATTGGCTCAAGGTAGGAGGATTGCTAGAGGGACTTTATCCTTCTGCCTGCTACTCTTTTTGGACTCAAGCAAAATTTTTATTACAAGGATGGAAAATATTTAAACAAGTTACATCTATCATGTGATGATAAATATTTTTTGTTTTTTAGGTGTAACTTCTGCAGGGCCATTTGTTGATGGATTTGTTTGTAGGAATTTGGTGCGATGGTTATCATAATTGAAAACCTAATTTTGAAATATGAAAATATTAGGCGATGGTGAAAAAATTAGAAATGGTAGGTCATATGTGGTGGTGACCATTAGAAGTGGAATTGACATAAAATGGAACAAAACAGGAAATCATAGGTCTTGTAGGTTAGCCATTAGCACATTTAGTATGGTCGAGAATGGGAAAACAATTCCTTTCTATTACCACGGTGGTGGTGACAATGGTGGCATGGGGGTTGGTGGCAACAGTAGCAATGGGTATGATGGCGGCTTGGGGGTGAGTGTTGGTAACAGTGACAATGGGGATGAGTATTTGTTGAATTAAATCCTTAAAACACAGAGATATTGGTAATTGAGTTAATCCTTGATGGAATTTGAATTATGTCAATTTAAAATCTTAAATGCGAGGTATAAGGGTAAACCTCGGTGCACAAGACTCCCCAACTTATGAGGTTAGAGATAAGGGTTAATTGTATGTAGCTTTACCCTTACATTTTTGGTAAGAGGTTATTTCCTAAACTCGAACCGCGACTTTTTGGTCACTAGGAGCAACCTTGCCGCTGCTCCAAGACTCGCCCTCTTAAATGTGAGGTATAATGTTAATTTAATCCATTGTTGATGGAAAAGCCATTGTGTAGGGAATCAACCATTTTCAGTACGTAGTAGCTTATAAACCTACTTTTTATCTAATCTCTTTTACATTTGCACTACCCCCAGTAGACCAAATTTAACCTAGAGGTATGTTTAGTATGAACAAAGTGACAGGATACATAGTCAAATACATATTTGTTTCAAACTATGACTTTAAAGAGAAAGCTGCGAAAATAGAGGGGTTACTTGTGCTTTCCAGTCTGAACAAATTGGTCGGTTTCAAGATTGAGCTAAAATTGGGGGAAAACTAGCTTGAAATTGTAAAAAGTCCATTCTATCGGCAGGTTTGAGATATCAACTCCCTTGAAGCAGCCATGAGCAGAAAACCAAAGAAAAGCCAAAAAATGTAACACTATCCCATGAGTTTGGGGACAAAAGATGCCTTTTTTGCGTATATTGCTCACTACCAAATTTTTTTTAATCTCCTTGTTTTTTACCTAAATCTTTACGTAGACCATAAAAACTTCTCTAGATTAGAGGGACATACACATTGCTTCGTGATAAATGTAAAAAGATTGTTCCAAATCCAAAGGAAAGTTTCTCCTTTATCGTGCAAAATTTACTGGACAGTAAACTAGATCTGCACATAATATGCTTATCCGTAGAGAGTTGTGCGGCTATCAATTATGAATCAGGATGAACAAAAAAAACTCCAAGTACTCGTTGCCACCTTCTCAACAAGTGAAAACTCAAACTTCTCCTTCACTATATTTTTTGCCATCATTTTCCATGTTTCCTACCAAGCTATCTTGGTTGATATCAGAGCTCTACTATCTACAACTTGCACAAAGCAGTTTTGATATACTTGCAGAATTTGGTAACATTTAAAGCTACATAGTCTCCGGCCCAAAAGCAACCCGAAGCTTAAATTCACTATCAAGATTCCGGAGTCAAGACTTATTAACTCTTGTTGGACATTGTGTGGATAATACAGCAGCATTAGTCACATATCAGCTGGTTGTGTGTGATACACAGAATTTCCCTTTAATGGAGAGTTTCTCCCTCTTATTTGCCTGACTTATAGGAGTTGGGTTTGTCCACCTTTGTCATGGATGGACCACTCTTTCCAACCCATCCAGGTTGATGCAGAAGCATGGGTCCCATATGGGATGGTGTGAGACATAGAGTTCCATTTAAAGTAGTGGCACCCCCTTGATAGCCTGACTTTTAGGAGTATCAGTCAGTGATGTGCGAGAGTTATTCTTTTTGAGGAATTGATGAAGGGAAGCGATGTATTATGATTATGGATTTTCTCGTGTGTGTGTTGTCATTAATCCCATACAAAATCTACAATTTATATTGGTATGTAAAATAACCATTTCAATTTAAAAGTTTAAGCTTGGTAAGTGATGACCACATTAATGGTTTTGTATTAATATCTCTCTAACACACTCGTTCACGCAAACGCAAGGGCCCTTGACTTGAAAAGTGGGCAATGCACAGGTTCATTGTTTGGTTTACTTTATGCTTACTCTAACTTCTTAATTTTTATTAGAAAACATGGCGATGAGGTTCAAACTTTGGTCACAAGCTCTAATACTATATAATGCAACCAATTCAATCCAGTAATCATGAGTTTGAACCTCACTACTCCGTTTTCTAATAAAGTTAAAAAAAAAGTAACGTTAAAATTAGCACAAGAAAAACCAAAAAATAGGCTTGTGCATTGTCCACGCTTCAAGCCCAAGGATTCTTGCGGGGATATTAATATAAAACCATTAATGTGACCTTCACCTAACAAATTAAGCTTTTGGATTGAGTGGACACTTTACATGGTATATTGCACTTCCCTTATTTTTTAGGGCATTTGAAGATGTGCACGGCCAACTTCACTTGCTACCTCTTCTCTACTTCAAACAAAGCAGTATATCTTTTTATCTTTTTGTATTGCAATAGCGAAGTGATTAATGAATTAATTTATTGTTATTGGTTACTCTGACATTGTTTTGGTTGGACATCACATCAGGAAATCAGCCAGGATCCACTTTGGTGAATGACTTGCAAGAGCAGGAAAAGGAGCTTAAGCAATATATGGAGCCACTTGAAAAGGCTGAGGCTGCAAGGGTTTCTTTGCTTTCTCAGCTTAAAGATGCACTGCAGGAACAAGTACAGTTGTTTCTACGAATATACTTATATTAAACTGAAATTTATGACTGCTTACTAATGTAAAGCTTTTCAGGAATCAAGGCAACAACTTGTTCACACCCAGTTGCTAGTGAGAACCTGTCTCTAATCTCTGTTTCTGTTTTCTCTCCGTGGGTGTAAAACTGTTCCTTTTCCTAATTATAATATAATTTAAAGTGTTTGTTGCCACTTACTATGTTGACCTTGGGTGTCCTTAAGATGCTGTTTTAATTTTCAACAGAAGATACCTTGTCTAGGATTTGCATTATGTCAATATAATTTCGGTCACTACTAAATAACAGAAAATGTTTGTGTAAAGTAAGTCTAGAATGGTTTCTTGTGAGCTTATTATTATTTGTATAAGTATCACATCAAATTAATTTTGGCTTTCCATGTAAAGAAAGAAAATAAATCACTAAGGACCACATGTGTTTGGGCTATAAACTTTTTTTTCTGAAAAACCTTTGTTCAACTTACCCTCCCTTGTGCATATAATATTTTTCACAAATGTTTTGAAGTCTGCTAGTTTTGGCAATTTTTCGTGTTCAATTTTGTCTGGTCTTCACTTATACAATTTTCCACACAGGCATACTGTCTTCATGAATGCTAAATATATATTTTTGGCATGTAGATTATTAATATTTCATTTTGAAAGCAAAGTACTTAAATTTTTTTCAACTTCTGTTACTGGATTAAAATTCCATTATATGTGGCTTGGCAAAGAGTCAAAGCATGCAAATGCTTCCAAAATGACGCCACATATTTACTTCTTCCCAAAAAGGCAATTTTTAGTTTGAAATAATTGTTTGAGTACTTTGTTTTTGTTGGCAATGGCAAGTATGTAAATAATGTCTTGATTTATTTTATAGGCCAATTGTCTAGATTCTTTGTATAAGCTAATCAAATCATGTAAATATGGTAATTAGGATATCTGTGAAGTACAACTATTACTTTCTTGTCTACATAATTCAGCTTCTGCTATGCAGTTAATACACATTTTATCAACAGTCTTTCATTTTCTCTTCCTTTAACATGGCATCGTAGAGCATGACGAGAGGCAACCATATTCTGTGCCTACAAGGTGAACCCACTGCTCATTGGTGAAGAAAATTGTATTTTCACATCGGTTTCTATTATCTTCCTATTCAAACAATTTGTTTGGACGTCTCCCCTCACATGGGGCCTCTCCAACACCTCTGCATTCATATTTTGCACTACCCACTATTATTCATGGTTGGATTTACCACTTTTGATGGTTCCATGGACACTCTGAAGGCTGAGCTCCTATTTTCACCAACTATGCCAGTGCCCCTTTATTCATTGACATGTTGGATGGTAGCAGTTATGACACTTGGCCTTGGATATGAGACTAGGCTTACTGGATAAGACTATGAAACTCACTTCACGACCAATCTATGCAAAGAAACTAAAGCAATGAAGCACCTTCTTCATGCTGCTGGCCCTTATAGTTTACTTTGAATTCCAGCCAAGCGTGCCTAAGTTTGATATGCCTCATCCTCCTCCAATTGATCTCTTTGCACTTGTATCCCAGAGTGCTGGTCATGGTTGTAAGTTCGACAAATCTTTTCTCAAGTGTCACCATTGCAATAAGTTGGGCCATATTATTGGTAAGTTTTATATTCTCCATGGTCGACCTCTATGCACTGCCAATGTTTCACTGGCTGCTCCATCGGAACCTTTTGTGTTATCAAATCTTCCATTATCATCTTTGGCTGCTTGTGTTGACTTTTTGAATTGATTTGAGGAACATTAGGGTTGTAGTTCCATTGCCTCTGATGCACATACTGGTAATCCTTTTCTTGTCTGTCCTAATCATCATCCCCAGGTCCTAGTGCCACTGATCACATATCCGATAATAAATCCGCTTTCGAAAATTTCTACATTTAGTTATTTTCCTACAACCACCTTTACTAATGGTTGCAAAGCATAATCTTAAGGGGTTCATTCTATGTATTCCTTCCCTTTCCTTTCAGTTGATGATGTGCATTATATACCAAGTTTCCTGTTAAATTTGCTTTCTCTAAGTTGGTTGACTCGTTTTCTTGGTTGTACGATTTCTTTCACTAAAGTTTATGTTTATTTGTAGGACCGAAGTTCAAGACTCATGATTGGCACTGAATGCGAGTCCAATGGCCTCTTTAACCTTCTCATGTTTTGGCCTCTAGAAATATTCTTTTTTCATCCATGCTCAATTAGGTAATCCTAGCCTTGCTAAATTACAAAAAGAAATTGTTGCCTAGTATTTCCAAGTTATCTAGTCAGTTTGTGAGTCGTGTCAACTTGGAAAACATACCTGTAGTTCGTTTCCCAATAGCGTCTATAGTCGAGCTAAGTCTCATTGTACTTTAGTTCATTATGATGTTTAGGGTCGTGGTTGCATTGTGTCAACCTTGGGATATTTTGTTACTTTTATTGATATTAGTTACATCTTACTTGGTTATTTTTGAAAAAAAATTGGCCTAAATTGTTTTCTATCTTTTAAACAGTTTTATAATGAAATCAAAACAGGTTTTGGTATTCCTATTCGCCGTTTGCATAGTGATAATGCCTGTGTATTCTTGTCTCAACCATTGCAAATATTTATAGCATTCTTCACCATACGTCTTGTGCTCATATCCTTTAACAAAATGGGGTTGATAAGTGCAAAAACAGGCACCTTATTGAAACTACATGGACACTCTTACCTTATTGACATGTCCCTTTTCTACTTTTGGGGTGATGTTGTTATTAATCAATTGCCATTCTCTATTCTTGATAACCAAGTATCTCATTTTATATTGTCTCCCATCTATTCTTTTATTCCTTGACACCTCTTCTCTTCATATGTACTTGTTTTTTTCACATTCTCACTCTTAGTATTGACAAACTTTCGTCTCAGTCCCTCAAGTGTCTTTCTTGGTTACACTTGGTCTCAAAATGGTTATAGTTGTTACTTTGTTATTCTCCGTTGATATTTGATCTCGGTTTATGTTATCTTCTGAGTTCATTCCCTTCTTTGGGCCTCCTTCCTCCTCTTCTCAGTATGTATTTGTAGTCTTACCTCTTTCCCTACCTTAAATCTCTATTGCGGCACCCTACCAAAGAGGTCCCTAGTTCAAGACATACCCATCCATGTTTATTCTTTTTAGTTCTATGATCATCAACTGTCTCCACCTCTATCGCTTGAGTTTATTCCTTCTATTGTTCTTGATGATGTCATTATGGGCTCTCCTCCAACCCTAGCTCCTCATCTTGATCTCGCTCTGCCTATTGAGTTTGACCTTCCCATTGCTCTTTGAAAAAGTATACGATTTCCACGTATCCCTTCTCACTATGTTAATTTGAGTTATGTCGTTGTCTCTCTTTTTTGCTTTTGGCTTATCTTTCTTTCTTGTCTTTTGTGTCTGTTACTAAGATTTCAGGTGATGTTTTATCTCATCCTGTATAAAGTCAAGTTATAGTTGATGAAATATGTGCACTTCAAAGTAGTGGTACTTGGGACCTCATTCCTCTTCCACTCAGGAAGTCTAGCAGGGACTATTGGTGGATCTTTCTCGTAGGTCGGTCATGATGGTCAACTTGATTGTCTTAAGGCTTGTGTGGTGACCAAAGGATATATTAGGTTTTGGCTTAGATTATGCTGAAACCTTCTCATTGGTGGCAAAAATGACTTATATTTGTTTGTTTTTGTCAATACCTGCTAATCACTACTGGCTGTTTCATTAGGCGGCCATGAAGAATACTTTTAACGGTGGTAATCTTGTTGAAGTTTATATTGAGCAACCTTGTGGATTTTTTTTACTTTGGTGGAGTCTTTTAAACTTGTTTGTTATCCCCACTAATCTCCATATGGCCTTAAACAATTCCCCTAAGGCTTGGTTTGACAAATGACAAATTTAGCATTGTGATTGAACAATTCTATTTGAAATTGAGTGAGGTTGACCAATTGATTTTTTGTTGCTATTCAGCTTAACGAGTGCATTTACTTGATTATATATATCGATAATATTGTCATCACAAGTAATGATCACCATGTCTATCTTAGGTAAAACAACATTTTGTCATCATTTTAGGCAAAAGTTTGTAGAAAGTTCCAAAACTTCTTGAATAGAGGTGGTGCAATCTAGGGACAAGTATCCTGATTTCCCAAAGAAAGCATGCTATGGACACTCTTAAGATAATAGTACTATTGAATGCAGAACTTGTTGACACTCTTATGGATCCAAATGATAAATTTATACAAATGACTAGTTCACTTTTTGATCCAGGAGAATATAGAAATGACTAGTTAGGAAATTGAACTACCTGATAGTCACTTGTTCAGACACTCTTTTGTAGTTAATGTGGTAAAAGCCAGTTCCTAATTTCACCTTGCAAAGGACATTGCAGTAATCCGTATCTTAAGGTGCTTTAAAATGGCTCGAGGAAAAGGATTCATCAACGAGGATAAAGGTTGCATTTGGGTTGTTGGATACTTAGATGATGATTAGGCATGTTTCTCTAGGAGATCCTTTTCGGATATTGTGTATTCGTTGAGAATAACTTGATGTCTTGGAAAAGTAAGAAACAAAATGTCGTTGCAAGGTCAAGTGCTAAAGTAGCCATGGAATCATTTATTTGCGAACTCATTCATATTATTATTAGTGATATAGCTCACTTAGCTTTAGTATTTCTTTAGCTTTGCTAATGTTACTATACTTCTGTATGTATCAGATACCTTCTTGTCTTTCTATTTTGTATTCTGTTAGTTTGTTGGGTGTTTGTTATTTGCTGACTCAGATCTGAGTCCTTACTTTGCTCTGTAAATAGAGCCCTCGTGTATTAGTTTCATTATCTGAATATGGCTCCCTCTCTGATATCTTCTTTCTCTCTCTCTCTCTCTTCTTGTTCTTACCAAACTTTGATATGGTATCAGAGCCATTGATGGATTGACCTGTGATGATTCGAGTATTTGAAGATATGGGAAGCCAAGGTCTTGATGAGTGTAGTCAAGCCTTGATGGAAGAGCCAATGTCTTAATCAGAAGCCAAGCATTGATGAACCACATGAATACTCGAAGAAGTTTCTCCTTGAAGGATTTGGGTGATCTGG